ATATCAAGGCTGCACAAACATTTCCCCCAAAGTAAAACTCTATCTGAGGGCTGCGGCCAAATACAATAATATAATTCATGAAATACAAATACTTCTTAAGTACAGTCCTTTTATTTTAATGATTATGTCCTGCTGGAGTGTGACATGATTTGTTTGGGTACAAACTAATACAGTATCAGAGTTTTATACATTTATACTTCTCATTCAACCACAATTAAATTCACTCTATCTAGAAGGCACAATTTATATGGATAGAATTAATTTTTTACAATAACAATCTGGAAAGAAAACAATCAAAATTAAAAGTAACAACTTTCTACTTCTTGCCTTTTTTTAAAAGTAAGAAGTAGAAAGTACAGATAACTGTGTGAAAATGTAAGAAGTAGAAGTAAAAATTAGGCTGAAAAATAATTACTCAAGTAAAGTACAGATACCCAAAAATTCTACTTAAGTACAGTAACAAAGTATTTGTGCTTAGTTACTTTACAACTCTGTGTAAAAAGTAGGTAACCTCAGTTTTAGCTAGATGCTATTTTACAAAGAACAAAACAAAATCTTAACTCCAGATGGGTAAACTGAAACCCAGCATCCATTAATTACCATCTTCTCTGCATCATCTAATGAGGAAACTGAAACTACATGAAAAAACTGGGCATGCAGTCAAGATGTTAAATTTGTTATTATGCACAATATATTGGGAATAACATCGTATCAGCCGATGCTGGTAATTTTTTTAGCATGTTGTATRGGTCCAATAAGTAAATCTGGGCTGATATTAATGTCCGATATTTATTTCTTGTTTGTGTTTTTTCTGTTTCTGGAGGGGATTGTTTGGTCGAGTGGTATCTGTTAGATCATGATAGAGATAATGACGCACAGCCAGGAATAACTGAAGCAGAGAGACATGTCAGAGGTCTGGTTGTTTTTTTTTTATGGTTTTGAAAAGGGACACGTTTTGTGCATTTTTATAATATTTTTTTGTGAGTGCGTGTGAAAAATTTGAGCTTCATCAATGGAACCATTTTCCAGAAAAAGGCAYCCTTGTGGAGACTGATTGTGCACGGTGGGGATCAATGCCTGGTCTCCACYGGTACTGATGCTAATTTAAGGTGGTGGGGTTTGGTTTAAGACCAAGGCGTGAATCGAGTTTAGGTTAGTGTTAGGGGTACCTGTGAGGTTAATTTTAGGGTAAATGGTCAGGGTTAGGCCAGAAAATTACAAAAAAATGAATGGAAGTCAATCCACAGTCCTATAGGGATATTAAAACAAACCTGTGTGTGTGTTTGTGCAACATCAGTTATCTGCCATAACAGTAATATCAATATCAGATATCGATTGAACATTTCATATCGGTGCATCCCTAGTTGTTATTTTCTGACACTCCAACTACATTTTGAATTAAGCCACACAAAAACAAAGTTGTGATCATACGATAATAAAATCATTAGTGATATTTTTTCATGTTTTTATTGCTAACATTTTGGCATGTTGGTGGTTTCTTAAACTCAGCATGGGTGGACAGTGCTTTTGTTACACACTCATGCACTGTCAGCTGGGCTGATAAAGCACTGCTGAAGTTGTCAGTTACACCCATGCATTTCCTGCTATGACAAGTCAACTTTGCTGATATAAACTAAATTTATGTTAACCTCAACTATACAAAGAGAAAAAAACGAATGTGTGTTAATGCAGTCAGGTATCTAATTGCCAAACACACCATGACATACGTACGTACATCTCAGCTCACACTTAAAATGTGTGTTTTCAAAGAAACACTTGTATGTTTTTGACTGTCAGCTGATCACCACCTGGTGATGGCAGAGGCTGCCAGCTATAACTGGTTAACCAAACCAGTAAATAATAGTAGTAAATAGTAAATCAATTGTTGCTGATTTTATTTTATGTCTTTCTATGGTGCCACTGTACAACTGGCCACCAGGACTACAGATGAAATAAATTAATTACCAGTGGTGGACAGCACTAACCTAAAAATTAGTTCCACTAGCCCTAAAACACMAACTCACATATTTAGGTTCCCTAATTCTAAAGCACTAATGCACTAAACTTTTAGCAAAATCTAATTCTAAAGCACTAATAACCCACTCAACCCATGAACACTCTTCAACAGACAACATGAGTCACATGTTGCCATGTTGCTCTCTGAAGACTTATCATTGTCGTCACCTGGTGCAGTGACTCCCAACCAGGGGTCCGTGTACCCCTTGGCTAGGCAACGTCTTTGTCTTTATGTTTGATTTGAGTTGAAAAGAATAAAATGTCTGAGAATAAAATGTTCTAGGGTGTTAAATAAATAATTTTAATTTAATAATCAGTTGTAGGACATTGTAGTTTTGGAGAATCATCATTATGTTTGACTGAGGGGGTACTAGTGGTATGACAAAATGACTCAGGGGGTACACAAGTCTAAAAAGGTTGGGAACCACTGATCTAGTGGATAAGTGACACATATGAACAAAATGTGTGACAGTTTTCACCCTCAGCTGTTAACGTTAACATTGATCAATAACATTTATAGACTTCAGTTAGTGCTTCTAAATTTAGCAGGTGCTAATCCACTAATACATTTTAAAATTAGCAAAATCCCTAAAGCATTAATCAGGAAATTAGTTCCCCTGTTAGTGCTTTAGGGGAACCATGCCCAACACTGTTAATTACAATTAAATTACAATTAAATATAAATTGGAAACATTTGGTAGAAGCCTTTGATAAGATCTTCTACTCACACCTCCAGGCAGTGACATATGCAAAACATTTTAATGAGGTGACCCACTGATAATCCAGGGCTGGCAACAAAACCAAAAACCAGAACAGAATTTCAGGACATTTGTTTTGTTGTTCCCGTTTACAGATTACCTGACAAAAACATTAATATGAGATTTGGGAAGTCACTTTGGTTACTTTAGATATTTTATTCAAACAGTTGAAACAGTTACCTAATTTCCCTCTGGGATCAATAAAGTATTTCTGAATTTAAATTTGACATTATTTGTTGATAAAAGCCCTGTCACTACTCAACCTATTGAACAGCCTGACTGAGCCACAAGTAGTCATGATGTTACAGATTATTTCTGCCATCTGGCTTCAGGGATTAAAAGTGTTCACGTATCAAAACATTTAGAATGCTTCTATAATTTAACTCATAACTCACTTRTCACAAACTGATATCCAAAATTTGCTGATCCACTCAGATTCACACAGATCTAACATGATCATGAGTACAATATAATGATGTACTGAACAAAATCAAACAGTGTGTGAGTTACATACTTAGTTCGTCCATTTCGTACTTGGTGGCATAAACTTTCCACTTGTCATGCCGGGACATGTTAAAGACCACGACTATGTGATTTTTCTCATCTTCATCGAATCTCCAAGACCTTGACCCTTCGTTTTCCACAGAGGTGTGATTTTTAAAATAAACCAGTTCGTCATCTTTACATTCACTAGAAGAAGAAGAAAAGTTATTCAAGACAGTATATTTTTTAAATTTACCACGTAAATATTTTTCGTGTTTTTAAAGATATTTGTCTTTTTTCTCTCATGTCACAGTCATCCACTTTGATCAGTGAGTTTCTAATTATTGACACAAAGAAGAAAAACTCAATAATGTGTAAGACAGTTAAACCCCTGAATACCTGATATAAACAGAGAGTTGGGTATCCTTCTCCAAAGTGTGGAATAACCAGGAACAGTTCATTATATGCGTTGGGTACAAGAGGCAGGTGAAGGTTTCCTCGAGTTCAGTCCTTTCTAGGGTAACAGTTCGGTCTGGATCCTGCACCAAAACCTGAAAATGTTCCACAAACACCAAGCCGACAATGAAGTGAAAACTGTTTTTAACAGTTCTGCTAGCTGTGTTGTTGAAGATGAAACAATGTTTTAAATCTCACTTCATCTGATCCATGACAGACCATTGAAATGTCCTCGGTACTTGCTGTAAGAAAACATGGATCCAGAGTTATTATAAGGAAAACACAGAACTTGTTTGTTACCCATGAATAACCAAGTTCTCACTTAATAGTATGCAGCAACTGGATTGTGAGCACCACACATAAGCTCGGCATTTATATTGTTTGGTATTATCTGATTAACTTTGTAGGGGGTCTATCTCTTAAAACATTTTCAAAGAATTTTGCCTAAGCGTTACAACACCCTGATTAGGAAATGGCAGTCCCAGTCCATTATAGCCAATTCTCAACACCAGTTTTTTTTATTATGTGTTTGTAGTGTGTAATATACCCACCGCTTTGTGAAGCCAACAAAATCAGGAAACTGTACAGAAACATTGGAAGAGCAGGAAACTGCTTCAAACCATAACCTAAAAAGGGTTTCAAACATAAATTAACACATGAGCTTAAAGCACAGTAATTGTGCAGATTCTCCTTTAAAACAAAAACTTTACACCCAAACAGTGAAACAAGGAGATCTAGCTGAAACTCTACAACCGTACAATGTGGGCTGCCTGTTTTCAGCCTGTAAGCCCAAAGACCCACACTCCTTCGTTAGACCAAAGACCTTCTTCTGTCACAAGTTTCACATTAGGTGATTTCCTGGCTTTTTGACTTCCTCTTTTTAAAGTGCTTTAGAGTTCCTGTAAGTCATCTCAGAGGGAATAAAACAGATTTAAAGAAAATGTTTTTTAGGGTCTTCTCCACACCTTTCTTCAAAAGTACAGACTTCTACAAGAATCAGATGTTGGTGCTCTGTCTTGTTTCAACATAACTYTCATTCATAAAACAGTCCCCTACTTAGGTACAATATTTCTACTTATGAATAACAACCCTTTATAATCATCTAAGCAGTTACACTATGACAAAATCCCAGTTAATAAAGTTAAGAAGCCATACCTGCTGCTGTCCCCTCACCCTGACACAGACTGAGCTTTTCTGCCACAAGACAAAGTGATCACCGTAGATTTTGGGGAAACGTGAAGCGTGACGTCACATACTGTACAGAGATCCAGGAAATCAAGACTTCTTTTTCTGTTTCTCTTTGTTCTTGTACTCGTGTGAGTGTGTACACCGCAAGATTACAGATTGTTGAGCGTAGTTTTTATGGTTAAACCACAACGTGTTCATAGTTTGTAAAATTCAAACCCACAAGAACAAGAATTAATACCCTTTTTTGTTACAACTTTTAAAGATGCTTAGAATAAGGAACATTTTAAATACACTTATTTTGAAGTGAAACTAACGCTGTTTTGTACGTCCCAGCCTTTTGTGAAAACTTTCTTGTAGTCTTGTCATGTGGGTAAAAACTTCTCTGCAGCTGTAAGATGTCAGATCCACGTCACATAAATGATTTTAGTAGAAGCAKAAACAATCATCTCCTGCGTTGGAATATTCAACACTTATGCACTCATTCTTAGTGATACCTGAGCTGATACATTCTGTTTATGTTGGCAGTGATATTTTAGTGAGATTTAGATTAGATTAGATAGACCTTTATTTTCATTGTACAGACCACAATTAAATTACAGTTCAGAACACCCATTCAGAAGAAGACAGAACATAACAAACATAGGAGAACAGGTACCCTGTGTCCTGCAGCCACTGACCCTGCACAGAGCAAGGATTATCTTCATGAAGACATCATGAGGAGGCGCTATCCTTAAAAGAAAAAGCATGGTCCGTTCGTAACTTTTTTCATATGGAAATTTTGCAAGCTCGTGTAAACTTTGTGGGGGCGTGTGTGTGTGTATGAATGTAGACTCATAAAAATAACTCAATGGATGAATTCAATTAAATTTTGGGTAGGTTTTCCATCCAATAAATATGTGTTTGTACAACTGAAATTAATTAAGTCCATTCAACTCAATTTTTTATGACAGTGTAAATTAAATATTTGTCATTGACCAAATGCAAAGCATTTGAGTTTGACCAACTCAATTTTAGCTAATGCAACTAAATTAATATATTTTAGGAGAGGAGGCTGGGCAAGATGGCGGAGGAGTAAGWTGTGTGTCGCGTGGGCTTCTGCTCCGACTTGTTCTGTTTGTGGTTCTCTACTAAATGTTCTTGCTATTTTGAGCATTTGGTCTGTCCGGACGTGACCCCTGAGTGATTCTTGCCTGGAAGAGTAGAAGAATGGCAACAAACTCAAGGAAAGGCAAACATTCTAGCTCTGCGGCAGATAAGGGCTCGACACACGGGAGGCGACATCGCTCGCTCTCCATTCATTTCRTATGGAGCCTGTGCGGTGAGGCGACAATCGCTTGCCCTCCTCCAGCTAAGCGACCGGCGAAAATAGTGCATGTGAAATTTTGCGCTCGTACACGTAGACGTGCACACGCGAGCTTGCGACGCGACATATGAAAGTTGAAAAATGTTCAACTTTTGTTGCTGTCGCTTAGCGTACAACCAATCAGCGAGGGTTTCATTGACTGACCAATAAGGGGAGAGTATGCTACACTGCKGTTAGCTAACACTTTCACCAAGTGCTTACTAAAAAGCTTTGTGGGAATTTATTGGCACCAGGGTGAAGTTTATGGTAAGTTTTTCCTCATAAAACTGTATCTTGATGTGTGTTTGTTTTTCAATATCATCAGCATCGCAAGATTTGTTTAGTTTACACGTCCGTAATGCACACCCGCCTTCAGAGTCAAGAACCAATCAAATTTTGTGAAGACAAGCGATCTGAGAGCGCGATTCGCAACGCTGCGATCACTATCGCGTCCCGTGTCTTGGGTTTCACCCAGGCTGCAATGATAGCCGTTAATCGCTGTAGTTTGTCGCTGCCCATGTGTCGAGCCCTTTAGGCCCGACGCCGCCTCGGAGATGGCTGCAGCTAGGACCGGACTTTCGGCGCCCCCCTCTCCCTCCCGCAGCGAGGTGGACGCACTCTCCTTGAAGTCTGACATTCTTGCCGCTATAAAAACCGATCTCTCAGCAGTGATCAAATCTGAAATAAAAGCGGCTTTGGCTGAAGAGTTTATTCTTTTTAAAGGAGAGCTACAAGCGGTGAGAGTGGAGGTGGCTAACGGCACAATGCTACTTCGCGCCGACCTGGACCACCTTAAGCAGAGCGTCAAAGAGGTGGAGGACGGCTTGTCAAACTGGTCCGATGAGGTTGTTGCTCTGCGCACCACCGTCTTGAAACTGAAAGAAGAAGTCGATGGGCTCAAAAAGAAGTGTGACGATATGGAGGGGCGCATGAGAAGGTGCAATGTGCGGATTATTGGAGTTCCCGAGACGCCAGAATCCAGCTCCACTTCAACAGTGGCTAAACTACTAGCAGAGGTRCTACAGATGGATAAAGTGCCACTGGTTGACCGAGTCCATTGCTCTCCAGGTGGAAACAGGTCAGGCGCTAAGCRGCGGGTCATTGTTGCTAAGCTACACTATTATCAAGAATGTGTGGAAATATTGAGTCYGGCGCGGAGCCGCGGCCATCTTCGTTTTAAGGAGGCACCGACTATCATCACAGCTGACTACACGGCGGCTGTGGCCAGGGCTCGGGCGGTGTTTACAGAGGTGAGGAGGCTTCTTCGCAACCGACGAGATGTTCACTACGGCTTGCTTTTTCCTGTACGACTCCGCATCTCTCATGGGGAGGAAAACAAGGAGTTCCTGGATGCCAATAAAGCAATGTACTACGTTAAAAAGAGGATCATCTCAGCGACGGACAACGAGGACCGGCGTTGACCGCAGGTCCAATCCTCATCGATCCATTATGACTGTCAGGTTGTAATGAACCTTCCAATTTTATGTCCCGCACTATATGTTGATTTAATTTTAGACTTTATTCRGAGGGACAACATTCCTCTTTTTGTTCTTTGTACGAGAATTTCACAGGGGGTCTGTCCYGATCTATGTTAGTGATTTATTTATCAGTGCAGCAAGGAGCATAAACAGTAATATTACTTTAAAGTAAGGGAACCCCTTTTAAAATTTTTTTGTTATTGTTATTTAGTTGTGGCGGGAGTCCAGGCAGGGAGTTAAGCCCCCCAGTATAAGCACAAATGTGTGGATTTTTTGTTTGTTGGGTTCTCCGTGTTTTTTTAGGAGAAAGGGGTGGGACTATACCGGATCTATCTGTTTTGAGAATGTCTTTTTCAGGTTATTTTTTATGATGGTTTGTGGATATTCTACTGCAGTCCGATTGACCATACATGAGCAGTTCTAATATTAACAGGTTCATCAACAGTCACCCAGTTAACTGTGTGAGTTGGAATGTGAAATCCCTCAATGGTCCAGTGAAATTTAGGAAAGTTATGACACATTTACATTTACAATTAGACAGGGAATGCTGCCACGCTTTTACACAGGACTCACTTAAGAAACGTATATTACTCCAAACAGAGTTTAACAT